ATACATACATACACACACACAAACACACAATAAGCAATTAATTAAAGAGGCGAACAGGAGACCTCGAGACATGAATATGCAGAAAATAGGTCGTGCTCGATGGAAGCAAAACAAACAATAGTTTTGGAAAGACTGAATGAAAAAGTTATTTTAAACAATTTTAAAAATATATATATATATTTAAAAAAAAAACAGGTGAGGTTTTTCGGCCACATTAAAAAACAAAACATTCGTATACACATCATACTCGGGGTGGCGGGGGGGGGGGGGGTGAACGGCAGAGAAGCAAGGGCAGGCTGCAAAATAAGCGGCAGAATAACATTTAGAGACTGACAAACATCAAACAGGAAAAGGCAAAGTTTTAAAAACTAGCTGCAGCTAACTTTCACTGCGGAGACGGTACTGACTGACTGATTCACATAACGACTGCTGTGAAAAAAGCCTTGCAAGTTAAACATCTATTGTGTGAATCTAACAAGTGTTCTTTCAAAAAGAAATTTAAAAAAAAAAATATACTCAAATAAACATCTGATAGGAATAACGAAGAAAGCATCAAACAACAGTAATCCAAAGACTAAGCCTCGTCTTGGAAGTTAGAGAAAGGAAAAACACATTGAGCAAAAATCTTGTTCCATAAGATGTTATAAAGAGGCAACGTAAATGAAGCGAGCGATCACGTTGAGTAAGTTGTTAGCTCAACGGATACAGCGAGACGTTAGCACTTAACGGCCTTGAGGGAAATCTAAACATCCTTCTCAATTCAAATAAGCAAGGAAGTGTCTAATGTTGAAGCTGTTTTTTAAACTCAGGTAATGTTGAACTTCTCCGCGATCCTGCTTTGCCTTGTTCTCAAGTATAAATATTTTACACTTTATATATCAAAAATAAGCGCCTCTCAATTAAATTTATTTATAGCTTGCTCATATTTCTTGAGATGGACTTTAAAAAAAAAATGTGGTATCCTTCAAGACGATCCAGACGTAAAAAAAACAGTGGATCTAACAGTGAGAAAGCAAACTATAGATGCCAGAAACTGTATTTTCTTTCGTGTCACTTGAATTTTAGCGAAATTACTGGAAAAATGTTGTTTTTCCCACCTCCATTTCATTCTCAAATGTGTTTTGTTACAGAGAAAAAGCAGTTCTTCCCACGCATGTTTTTTTCACTATCATCCTGTGTTGTCTTAGTTCCTTGGATTTACGTGTAATCAGGGTTTTTGTTCTGTCTCTCTATTTTCATTCCTTCTTTTTTTTACTGCGAAAAAAAGGGGAGGGAGAGCGGTAAGGTTGGGGTGAAAAACAAAAGTAGAAAGAGTGCTATTTCTTGCAATTCCTGCCGTAAACTGTGGTTTTTCGAGACTGTCTTGTATTTTGCTAATATGAGTTATGAGTTAGATTATCTTCATAGCACTCCGGACACATCCATAGGCGCTCAGATTCCCCTCTCAATATATTCATCAGCGTCGTGTGGATAATATAGTATTTCTATGTGCCGTAAATTGCGGTGTTTAATTAGGGTTTCAAGCCTTTAAAAGGTCTTTCCAGAAGAAAAGGGTCGACTTGCATGGCGGGTAAAACATGTATTAGGTAGGTATAGGTCTAACTACACAAGGTCGACTAGTAGGCAACAGTTTACAGTATATGTTTCTCCGTGTAACACACTCCAGATGTTGCATCACCAGTCAGCAAGTTCTTTACAGAAGTAGCTCTGGTCACACCACGACTGAAAGTCTTTTTTTTTTTCTTCTTTCTTCTGGCCAGTTCTACAGCCCTATGTACCTTTATAGCCAATGCATCTTCGATGTCTTGTATTTACTTTTGTGTAGGTCGGCTCTGCCTTTTTTCCGCAATCTGTACCCTACATCCCTTTTTTTTTTTTTTTTTATGCTTTTTTTTTCTTCAAGACGCCATGGCGTTAAACTGGCTGGCCAAAATACCTGGGATAGGATGCTGTTTCTAAGCAAATTCTCCTTTATGTTAAAATCATGTCTTCCTTTTCTTCTTTGTTCACCGGCTGTAAGCTCTGGCGGAAAGTCTTGGTTGTTAGTCCCTTTGGACTTTGGCTTTGTTCCAGGGCCTGAGTTTTGCGTGTACATCCGTTTTACTGGCTTATTTGTTCGCAGCTGGATGTTCTTTGCCGCTCGGGCAAATGTACTATGAATTCGAAGGAAGACCCCAGTTAGTCGACCCCTACGACATGCTTGTTGGGGAGGCAGTGGGTCTATTCTTATCCCTCCCACCCCACCACATTGGGACCCCGTAACCCACACGAAGATTAAAATCATGTAGATAAGATGTCGATATTTTTCTTGTTCTTGATCCATGGTATTCTAAGAACTGTTCTGTAATTTTTCTGTTTCAGTTGCAATATTTTTAATTTACCTCTTATTCCCCACTGTCTGCTTTACTCAACACATCATCGGAAAATACGAATACTTCTTAACACACATTTTGGGGGATTGGGGGTGTGGTGGGGGGGGGGGGAGAGACATATAATGATGTGGACATAACACGATATGCCAGATGGACATGTAACACAATATGCCAGATATACATGTAATACAATATGTCAGATGGACATGTAATACAATATGCCAGATGGACATGTAATACAATATGCCAGATGGACATGTAATACAATATGCCAGATGGACATGTAATACAATATGCCAGATGGACATGTAATACAATATGCCAGATGAACATGTAATACAATATGCCAGATGGACATGTAATACAATATGCCAGATGGACATGTAATACAATATGCCAGATGAACATGTAATACAATATGCCAGATGGACATGTAATACAATATGCCAGATGGACATGTAATACAATATGCCAGATATACATGTAATACAATATGCCAGATGGACATGTAATACAATATGCCAGATATACATGTAATACAATATGTCAGATGGACATGTAATACAATATGTCAGATGGACATGTAATACAATATGCCAGATGGACATGTAATACAATATGCCAGATGGACATGTAATACAATATGCCAGATATACATGTAATACAATATGCCAGATGGACATGTAATACAATATGCCAGATGGACATGTAATACAATATGCCAGATGGACATGTAATACAATATGCCAGATGGACATGTAATACAATATGCCAGATGAACATGTAACACGATATGCCAGATGGACTTGTAATACAATATGCCAGATGGATATGTAACACAATATGCCAGATATACATGTAATACAATATGTCAGATGGACATGTAATACAATATGCCAGATGGACATGTAATACAATATGCCAGCTTTTCCATAACCACATTAAAGGGCTCGCTACAGAGAAAGGGGAAACAAGACGAGGCCAGAAAGGCCTAGGTTCTAATTCTGGCAGTCTCAGTAGGTCTCAGCACCAAACGAACGAACGAATGAACGCACGAACGAACAAACGAACGAACGAAAGAAAAAACGAAAGAAATAATTTTTAAAGGTTACAAATTGCGCACTTATCTTTTAGACCCCAACTGCTTGTTATCAATAATGGTATGTTTATTTAAATATATACATAATGAAAAAATTAATACACATCGCGTAAACACAATCATACACACTCCGAATATATATGTACTCAAACACTCTTGTATGTCCATACATACTTAGAAACAAGCACACCTACAGAAATACATAAATACATACATACATACACACTCATACCTACACCCTCACACAAATACATAAATGCACTCATGCTATTACTGACACCTACAAGCACCCACACTTAACCGTACCAAAACGCGCACTCAAAAAAAAAATTAATATATATATATATATATATATATATATATATATATATATATATATATATATATATATATATATATATATATATATATATACCTCATAAAAATTACATTCAAGACATCACAGCTTCTTGTTGTTGCTATTTACTATAGAAACTGAGGTAATCATACACAGGGCATCGCAGTTTGCTGGTCCTAGTTCATGACATTTACTATAGAAACCGAGGTAATCATAGACAAGACATCAAAGTTTGCTGGTCCGAGTTCATGATATTTATTATAGAAACGGAGGTAATTATATAGAAAACATCACAGTTTTCCGGTCCTAGTTTATGACATCTAACATAGAAACTGAGGTAATTATAAACAAGATATCGCAGCTTGTTTGTACTAGTTCATGACATTTACCGAGGTAATCATGTACAAGACATCGCAGTTTTCTGGTCCTAGCTCATGACATTTGCTATAGAAACTGAGGTAATCATAGACAAGACATCGCAGTTTTCTAGTCCTAGTTCATGACATTTATTATACAAAGTGAGGTAATCATATACAAGACATCGCAGTTTGCTGGTCTTAGTTCATGACATTTTCTATATAAGTCAAGTAATAATATACAAGACATGGTAGTTTGCTGGTCCTAGTTCATGACATTTACTAGAGAAACCGAGGTAATCATATACAAGATAAGACAGTTTGCTGGTCCTAGTTCATGACATTTACTAAAGAAACCGAGGTAATCATATACAAGATAAGACAGTTTGCTGGTCCTAGTTCATGACATTTACTAAAGAAACCGAGGTAATCATATACAAGATGAGACAGTTTGCTGGTCCTAGTTCATGACGTTTACTAGAGAAACCGAGGTAATCAAATACAAGATGAGACAGTTTGCTGGTCCTAGTTCATGACATTTACTAGAGAAAACGAGGTTATCATATACAAGATAAGACAGTTTGCTGGTCCTAGTTCATGACATTTACTATAGAACAGGAAATAAACTTGCATGAGAAATCAACAGCACATGCTGATTATTTCCGAAGAAAAATTGTATCCGCCAAATCGCAAATTGCTATACCTCCGTTTTTTAAATGATAAAATGCTAAAGAACTAAAACTTGCGCGTAAAAACTATATTGCGTTTCGGAGTTAAGAGTAACAAAAATTATTGTAAAAAGGATTCAGATTTACGGTAATAGCTGAGCAACTCACCTCTTTTCTGCATGAAAGCAAAAAGATCATCTAAAAAATCCTTCCTTTTGGGGTCGTCACTCAACTCGTACAGCTGGGGAAAGCAGAAAAGGTAAGTAAAATGTCAGTTTCTCGAGAATTTAGCAGTCGGGGATAAAACAATGTGCTAAGGTGAACAGATAATACGACTACGGATTTATAGAGAGCGAGAGAACGAGCAACACATTTATACATAAGCAACTTCGCAGGCAGAAAAGATTATTTTAAAAAAAAAAAAGTTAAATTAAAAGAGATATCTATAATGATCATGCAGACTAAAATGATTGAATAATACAAGCATTTCCAGTTTTGTTAACATTACTCTTATGATTATCGTTTCGTTTGAATTTGCTACCCACTTTTGCAATATGTGTAGGGGTCGCAGGACTAGCCTTTTAGTGCAATCATCACAGCAGTAACAAAATATAACAATTTCTCATGTCTTTCTACGCTCTGCTGTCCCCCGAAATTCCTTCTATCCTCTGATATTTTTTTTTTTTTGGTCCATCTTTTGTCTCCGTATATATTTTTTTTAAACTTTTCCTTTATGGCAGTTGCCACTGAAAACGTGGAGCTCAGGCATCTTCAGCTCACAACCCATATTTGGGGGAAATATCGGGAGGAAGCTCTGTGGCTAAGTTGATGCCAACGCTTCGAAATGCCGGGATGCCGGGTTCAATCCCAGCTGCGGGCCATGCGCCTTGCGTTGGTTTCGACAGTGGTATCAAAGAAGCCGACCGTCCAAAAGCAATGGCAAACTACTGGACGTAAATTTGCCTAGAAAAACCGCACAAAAGCCAGGGGCTGGTGGGGTTGGTTCTGCGTCGTCCTGTAAAGACTACGCAACTAACCAATCGGGAGGAAAGGGGGAGCAGAAAATGTACAGAGGCTAAGACACCCTCTCATTACCGCCCGCGCATCAACCACGGACAGGGCTTCTATTTTTAATATTTGTTTACGAATATAGGCCTTGCAAACAGGCTTTTTTTTTTAAATTATTATTATTATTCTGAAGTGCCGGGTTTTCTAGGTTCCTATGTCAGTTGCAGCAGATATAGCAGCAAACCGCCCAGCGTTGGTTTCGACTAGAGTGGTACTGAGATCAGACCGTTGAGCTGTGACAGTGGCGAACTAGTGAACGTAAAATTGCTTAGTTAAATCACAAAGTCACAAATGTTGAGGTTGGTACTGATTTGTCATATAAAGGAAACACAACTAACCATTAAAAAGAATTATCCTATTGTTTCAGACATATTATTATTTCTATTTGCCGTTCAGATCATAATAATAATAATAATAATAATAATAATAATAATAATAATAATAATAATAATAATCACCATCATCGTTACCCACTTTTAAATAGAATTCAGCCTCTTGAAGTCCCTCCCCTTAACCCCTAAAGCGAATTCGTGCCACCTTTTGTTTCACATAGAAGAAGTTGAAACGCAAAGCCTGTGTTACATTTTCCTATTCTGGTGTCCCAGTGGTTCTTCTTCTGAAAGTCTATGCCATGTGACGTTGGTACCCATGTCTCACGACAGCCTTCTGCCTCGTGTATGTTCCATCAACTCTAACACAGATGATTCTCCATGCCATGATGTCAATCTGTCCAGCATCTTTCCTCTCAGTCTGTCTCTCCTCCACTCTAGTTTTCCTACTGTGACGATGTAATCCATTTTTCTAGTTCTCGTCACATGTCTAGTGAGTTTCATATTCGAATTTCATCGAAGTGACATTTACTGGGTTTTGTTCCGAACACAGATAAAACACAGATGAACTGATAAATACACTCGCACTAGTACTAAAAAGTTAGTTGAGAATCCTTTTAAAGGACGTCGCAGAACCAACCCCATCATTTTGTTTTTGCTCTTGTGCTGTTTCTTGGCAAATTTACGTCCAGTAGTTTGCCATTGCTATCTGGACGGTCATCTCTCGATGTCACTGTCAAACCCAACGAAAGGCGATCTGCTACTAAATAACCTGCAGCTGGGATCAAACCCGGCGCCCAGGCGTTACGAAGCGCGTTCGCAACGCCTAAGCCACAGTCACCGACAGCACTAGTACTACTACACAAATAAACTAGGGTGTCTCCTTGACGAAGTGGTCAAGCCGTTTTCCTCGCGCTCTGTTCGTCTCACGGCGCTCCCTTTCAGTTCACGAGTGCAATTTTTACGGAGATCTCTGGTGACTGTCGCCTGAGTTACGGAGATCGTGCTCTCTGCGAGGCTTTTATCAGGCAGTTAGCCGTTTGGCAGATAGAGACTGAGCCATATATGATAAAACCTGATGCAATGAAGTCGATTCTCTCACCTTTACCTCAAAAATAAACTGCAAACAACGCTACCGAGAATTAAACTTGGGGATGTACATTATTACTAACCCTAACCCTACACCAAATCCCATGTCATCATCATCATGTAGCAGGTCGTTTGCAGTACGTTGTTCTCATTACATCTGCCTGAAAGAAACTCGGTCTCTCGCCAGTTCTCCCGCCTCGTGTACTTTCATACACAAGGAGTCACTTATATCCTGTGCCCATCTTCGTGTCGGTCGGCCCCTGCACCTCCTTCCTGGTACCATGCCTTCTGCTATAATTTTTTTCCAAACCGTCCTGGCGCTTGATATGACCAAAATATTTTAGCTTCCGAGACAGATGCTGTTTATTAGCCAATCTTCCTTGATGTTCAGATCTTTCAAGATGTCTGTATTTCCCCTCTTCTTTGTCCAAGATATTGTGAGAATCTTTCTATAACATTTCAGCTCAAAAGCCCCTTTTCTCTTTCTTAAGGACTGAGAGATAGTCCACGACTCACATGCGTATGTTGCTACAAGGAAGTGCATGCTCTCAAATTTTTAATTTTGTTTTCCTTGCTGGTGCTTACCCATAGACTGTTAAGACTGTTCAATCTTTGCATTACTATGGCCATCCTCCTTTTAATTTCTGTCAAAATCCCATGGCACACAGTAGATATTCCAACGGAAGTTAGGTCTCATCTTGTTAGCGTTAACCGAGGGGTAAACTTCAGCGGGGTAGTTCTTGTTGTTTGTTTACTTCTTAACTATAATCTTGTTCCAGAGCTTGAGTTTGTTTGCCTGCACGTCCATTTTATAGTTTGTATGCACATCTATTTTATAGTTTGTATGCCCATCCATTTTATAGTTTGTATGCACATCCATTTTATAGTTTGTATGCACATCCATTTTATAGTTGGTATGCACATCAATTTTATTTTTTGTAAGCACATCCATTTTATAGTTTGTATGCACAGCCATTTTAAAGTTTGTATGCACATCCATTTTATAGTTTGTATGCACATCCATTTTATAGTTTTTATGCACATCCATTTTATAGTTTGTATGCACATCCATGTAATAGTTTGTATTCCCATCCATTGTATAGTTTGTGTGCACATCCATTTTATAGTTTGTATGCACATCTATGTTATAGTTTGTATGAACATCCATTGTATAGTTTGTATGCACATCCATTTTATAGTTTGTATGCCCATCCATTGTATAGTTTGTATGCACATCCATTTTATAGTATGTATGCACATCAATTTTATATTTTGTATGCACATCCATGTAATAGTTTGTATTCCCATCCATTGTATAGTTTGTGTGCACATCCATTTTATAGTTTGTATGCACATCTATGTTATAGTTTGTATGCCCATCCATTGTATAGTTTGTATGCACATCCATTTTATAGTTTGTATGCCCATCCATTGTATAGTTTGTATGCACATCCATTTTATAGTTTGTATGCCCATCCATTGTATAGTTTGTATGCACATCCATTTTATAGTTTGTATGCCCATCCATTTTATAGTTTGTATGCACATCCATTTTATAGTTTGTATGCCCATCCATTGTATAGTTTGTGTGCACATCCATTGTATAGTTTGTATGCACATACATGTAATAGTTTGTATGACCATCCATTGTATAGTTTTCATGCACATTTATTTTAAAGATCTGCCCTGTTTCTATGCACTACAACAGAAAAATTTTACTGAGGGCATGCGGGTCACATCTGGTCTGCCGAAACCTAGCAAGTGGCCTGCGAGTCACCTGCCAACTGTATAGTATCAATGATTTTACTGCGCTGGCCCGCGATGATTCCCATTCTTCAATATTTTGGCCCTCGTGAAACTTAACTGAATGGCTTGTGCTACGACTTCAAAGGAAACACCCCTCATTTATTTACTTTTACGACATGTTTGTTAGGGTGTGCTATGGATCTGTTTATTCTCCCCCTCTGACATTTTTGTGTGTGGTGCTTTTGTTTTTATTCACTCCAAACAGACGGTCAAATATTTCAGGGGGTGGTAGATAGGCTGCATGTAGTCGTGGGACCTAGGCTGCACTCTCTCGCGGGACGTAGATGGGTTGGGGTTAGGTCCAGTTTTAGGTGTTTTGGGTTCGTTAAAAGCACCACAAAGCCGGAAAACCTGGTCTTATCACCCTATAAAATACTAGACTATCTCCATGACGTCATCTGGGCTGACTTATTATGAAAGAACCTTTCAGTGGAGTTCTAGAACCAACACAACATGAGGAACGGAAAAGAAGTACGATATCAAAACATACACTTAGACATCTAAAGGAAACAGAACAAACGTCAAACATTAAGATATTACAGCTTAAATGCACTTAAGCAAACACACATGAGAGCGCGCGCAAACAAACAGATATCAAAGTTTACAAAAGTAACAGGCAAAAACAAAGCAAACAAGAACGGGGGAAGGCCGCTCTCTGAACAATACCCATTTGTGTGTGTGTGTGTGTGCATGTGTTTGTGTGTCATTCATTTGTTTGTGTATCCAAAACATTTCTAGAAAATACAGATTGCAAGCGGGATAAATCAGGGGAAGTGAACGCTATCACACACTGAGTATCGACTTCTCTTTAAAATATAGGCGCGCCGTCAAAAAAAAATATCGGAGATAAAGGGGGGAGGGGGGGGGGGGTGCTCATTCTAGCTCTATATATTTGATACACCAATGGCGCTAAAATGGTCCTTTACCGCCAATACAGCCTGTAATTACT